TCAGGGCCCTGGTCTGGGCTCACCCCCGACATTGACAGCTCTCATCTCCCAGAAGGGCACCGTGCCCCTGTAGTCCACCACAGCCGCTGTGTGCAGCACCACGTGCACCCCCCTCATGGCAGCCAGGAGCGCGTTGGGGTCTCGGATGTCCCCTCTCATCACTGTCACACGAGTGGGAGCTGCAGAAAAACAATGCAGAGATGCGGGGGGGGGGGATAGGAATACAAATCAGCATCTGTACTTACTGCAAAGTACAAAAAAATCTATAAATTAAAAACATTCATTTATTTATTTTAATTAAATTTACATTAAGTAAATAAATTCTAGCAATAAATTAGTTATTAATTAATAAATCATAAAGATTTTATTAATTAATAATTAAATAAATTAATAATTTGAAATAGAATAAATTTATTTTAATTTATAAATACAAATTAAAAATTGAACAAAAATTTATAAATTAAAAGAATATAAATCAAATCAGCATTTGTACTTTCTGCAAAGTACAAAGAATTTATACCTTCCTGCAAAGCATGGAATGTCCTCTTTGCAGGGCAAGGCAAAGCACTCTGATAGTGACTGTGCCATTTAAATCCAGCACACCAGGGCAAAATTCCCTTTTTTTTTGACTCCAAGAAGCCAGGTTTGCATCTGGTTTTAATTTAAGATGGTGCTGTGATTCAGCTGTAGGGCAGAGTGTCTGTGTCTGTGTGTCTGTTTGTTTGTGTGTCTGTGTGTCTGTGTGTCTGTGAGTGCAGAGCCCCAAGGACAGCAGGGCACACCTGGCCCAGGGAAGCTGTGCTGGACTCTTCCCCTCAGACACAAAATTTTAGGGCTTGTGGGAACAACACCTGGTGATTTCAGGACATCCCACTGAGCTTTGTTTAAATTGCAAATACTGGAGATTAAGAAGGAAAATAATGCAACAGGTTTAAAAAGTTTCATAGGAAATTCCTCCCTTAGAGCCACTCAGAATTTTCCCCCTATTCCCTTTTACCTCCTTCTCCTCCTTCCTCAAAGTAGTTGCTCCTTACATGGCTACTCTTGGCATCTACTATTCATTTTCTTGCTTTGAGACAGTGTTGTAACATTTAAGTAGGATTTTTCCCTTTTTCCTTTCCTGTAGTTGGGAGTAGAACAGGGAGAAGCTGGGATGAGCTGCCTCTACTCCTCAGGGATTTGCAAGAAGCCACTCATGGGGTTGCTTTGGGAAGGAGATGTTGGGAAAATTAATCCACAAACACCAGAGGTTTATGCCCAAAAAGGAGACAGAGGAGTCCTTTCACTTTATTCCAATAAAGGGAGAGGCCATGGGGCATTCCCCTGGGATCTCTCCAGTTTTTGGAGGATGCAGCCTCCTTTTTATCCCAATTTCCCAGACACATTTCCCTTCTCTCTTTCCCCATGGCTGAGGTACTTGAGAGGTTCAGACTTCCCAAAACACCTGATACTGAAGATTTCCCTCTAATGTATAACCCTCCTTTTTAATTCTTATGGAATTTAGGAGTTTTTCTTTCATCTTTCAATGTCTAATTTTGTTTATCAGCAAACCTAAAGTTTATTTGTAACAGCAAATAAACTTTCCATTCATCAATCAGTGGAATCCTTTCCATTGTTTCTTTTATCTTCCAGATAGTTTTATCTACCAGCAGACCCACTGGTAGTTTGTTTGTTTGTTTGTAAAGACAAACCCACTATTCCTCTCTGAGATGTCTCCTCTGTCCTCGGCAGAGCCCCACACGTGCTGGGCTCAGGGCTGGAATTCCTGGAGGATCCCACAATTCAGGGAAGGGTCTGTGGGGCTGTTATGATGTGGAAACCCTCAGAGAGGATGCAACAGGGCAAGGTGGGCAGAGGATTATTCCTCATGGCCCAGAAGGAGGGATGGAATCCAAGCCAGCAGATCAGGTGATTGAGTGTTCCCTGAGCAGCCTGGGATGGAGGAGGAGACAGGAATTTTACCAAAGGGTCCAGCTGCTTTCTTCATTAGCAGAGCCAACAATCAGTGGACTCACTCTGAGGAGTTTTAATATTAAATTAATTAATATTGAGCATGAATATTAATTTAGTAGTAAAGCACAGATGTGATTTAGTGAGAATAGAGGGTGAAAGGAAGGAGCTGTCCATGGAGCAGAGATAAAACCCTTGCCTGGAGGAGCAGAGGATGCTCCTGCTGAGAGGCAGAGCAGGGTGGCAGCAGAATCTTGGGGGGAATTTTTCTGCTCCTCTGTTGTTTGGGAAAGCCTAGAAGCCATCAGGCTGAAGTGTTGAATAGCCTTTTTCACACCACCTGTGTTAAGGCAGCTGGTGTACAGCAACCATGAGGAATTTCCAAATTGACAAGGCCTGGTGAGCTCTTCCCAGGGCTCCTAAAGATCTGCAGCTCTAATGTGTCATCAGCTACTTTGGAGAACTTCTGAAGGCACTGGGAGAGTTCAGCAGAGCAAGTGAAGCACTTGTGCTTAGAAGGGAGGTAAAGAAGAGGCAGGAAATTGCAGAACATTTTGGTTTCAACCCCAGGAAATTCAAGAGCATGCACTCCAACTCGTGTGTGAGAGCACCTGTGGGATAATGGGCAGGATGGAGGCAGCTGACATGGATTTGTCAAGAACAAATCAAGCCAGATAAACCTCCTTTGTTTTTATGACAAGGTAACAGGCTGCAGGGATATTGTGGAACAGGTTGATGTCATCTATCTTGATTTTTGAAGGGCTTTGGAAACTCAGCGTCATTCTCACAAAGAGTCAGTAAAACATGGGCTAAATAAGCCCCATTAAGGAGAGCACAAAGCTGCTGGAATTACAGTTCCCAGGGAATTGCCAGCTGTGGTAGGTGGCTGCCCTGGGGCTCTCCAGGGCTTATTGCTGTATTTGAGTCTTTTTGATTGTTTTCATCAAGAATCTGGCAGATTTGTTCATTAAATCAGCAGATAACATCAGACTGGGAGGGACCATGCTGGAGGATTTGAGTATGAGCTGAATGGAATTAACAGAGTCTGGAGGGGGAGGGAGAAAAAAAAGTGAAATTTGATAGGAACAAAGAAAAGTTTTTGGGTTTAACAAGGAAGAGGCAGCTGCTCTTCACGAAGGAATTAAATTGGGCCTGGGCAGCTAAGGAGCTGTTGCTTGTTGTCAGCTGGAAAAGGCACAATTGTAGTGACAGGTAAAACAGGAGGATAAATTACAGGATGGAAGAGCCAAATCATCAGCTTTTTGCAGCAATGGGAAGGCCACAGCCCAAAATTCAGTGCCCTCCTTGCAGACAGGAGCAATGGCAGTGCCCTGCAGGGCTGGATGGAGCAGAGGAGGAGGAAGGAGGGTGTGAGAGCTGCTTTAGCCTGAAGCAGAAACCAGTATGGAGTGGAAGGATGTGGTTTGCAGATGGTGAAGATTGTTGTTAAAAAAAAAGAAAAGAGACACAGTAATCCTGTAATACCTCTTCTACCTGTAAGTTTAGATGGGAAATCAAGGAGCCAGGCTGTACCCACTGCCTGGTGGGGCAGAGATAAATGGGGTGGCCTGGGGACAGAACAAACATCTGTGGTGGGGCAGAGGATGGGGTTGGGATGGCCCCTCAGGCTGCTCCTGCCTCATTGCCTGTGGTTTGCTGGGGTGTCAGGCCACAGAGCCCTCCTGGAGCAGGGATTTTGGCACCTCCCTAAGGTTTAAACAGATTTTTCTTCAATTATGGGTGCTTTTAAGGTAATTGTCTCCCTGAAAGCTGGGGAAACCAGTCTGCTGAGTTCATCTGCCAGGGAGGTTTCTGATAGTGATATTTCCCTGGGAGTCTTGACTTGCTGTGGGTGCATCCCCTTTCTGTCCATATCTCCCCACAGGATCTCCCTCAGCATTTTTGGCCTCTCTCAAAGCAGGCTGAAGGTTTGGGCAGTCAGAGACAGGGAACCCAGCCCAGCATTAGCTGAGCAGAGCACCCTGAGCTGCCTTGGCTTGTTTTGCATGGGTATTCCTGAATCCAGTAAAACAGGATGTTTTTCCTCAACAAATCTCACTGTACTCAACCCTGCATGAGGGCAGCACTCAGGATATTCTCAAATGAATTAATTCAGTATCTCTGAGTATTTACTGAGACTCACCCTCTCCTTTTTTAAGGCTGCTAGAGGTTTCTCTCTATTTTTATAATTCATTTCACAATGCCTGCTGTAGGTGCTGAGATTGATTCTGTTGCTGTCAGGATTTTTAGTTGTTTCCCTCAGAAGCAGTGGCTGCTTGGAGCAGCTCAGGAGGGGTTTGGTTTTAGCCCCTTTGTGTCAGATAACTGGGCTGCCAAGTTTCCAAGTCACAGCCTCTGTGTGCTCATGGCTCCTCACAACTGAGCCCTGCCTGGGACCCAGAGCCTCACTGGGAGATTTCTCTTGGGTGATCCATCCCTAGGGGTCTTTTTTCTTTGATTTAGTGCTGTAAAACTTCTGAGCTGGAAGTTGTTCCTCACCCAGTTTGTTTGTCCAGGTTCCTGCCCCATGCCTGCCTGTAAATGCATCTCCAGTGTTACCCCAGCTGCCAGGAAGGGGAGGGTTATGGGCACTAAATAGATGTTGGTGCCCTTTTCTTACCTGTGCTGAATTTTTCTACTTCTTCTCGTGCTACTGAATCAAAAACTCTGACTTCTTTGATGTAGTCTTGTTGAGACAGGAGCTCCACAATCCTCTCCCCCACAAAGCCACATCCTCCTGTCACCAGGTAGACCCAGGCTCCGTCCATTGCTGCAGATGTTGTGGTTGAGGAGCAGAGAGGAGGAGGCTGCCAAGATCTTACTGTGCACTCAGCCAGTGTTTTCTGAGCTAAGTCTAAAGTTTAGCTGTCACAGAATGCTGCTGGGTGAACATTAACTGCAGCTGGTTGCACATAAATCAGCTTTTCCTTGGCACAGTGCTGCCACAGGCCCTTTCTGGGCTCTCTGACCCTTTCCTTGCTCCGGTGGCCAGTGGGGCACCTCTGGCTTGCCTTGGTGTGTGTCCAGGCTCAAGCCAAAATTTGGATGCCAGTTTTGCACCCTGGACATTCCCTTCCCACAGGCAGGTTTATCAGCTGGGGGAGCTCGGGGCTGCCAGGGGATGCTGCCAGGACCCTGTTCCCATGCCCTGGTGGTTTGTAGAGAGGCTTTAGAGCAGCAAATCCAGTGCTGAGCTGAGCCAGGGATGGGCAGCTGGGGTTTGGTGGTCACCAGATCCACCAGTCTGAGCCTCTGGCAGGGCTGTCCTGGATGGATGTGCCTTGAGCTGAATACATCACACACACCCCTCTCTCTGATAGATTTTTTTTTAATTTTTTTAATATATATATTTGTATATTTAGGAGGAGAAAGACCTCTCATAAATTTGAAAACTTTATTGAGTGCAAACTCAACCACATCCTTTGGCAGAGTGTTCCAGCAATTAATTCTCATCACTGATACAAGTTCCATCTTGGCTGACACACCTTTCCCTGCTATGCTCCACAGTGTGTGCTGTTTAGTTTCCCACTGGAGTACAAAAATGGCATCAGCTTTGTCCAAGGGTGCTTGATCCTGTCCTAAAGGTGGGATGTGGCAGGGACAAGACCTGTCCTGTTTCTCCCTGCCTCTCCCAAAGAGGCTCAGAGATAACAAAGTCAGGCCTGATCAGCTCCCAGCTCTCCTTAATGCCAAGCAAATGACATCTTTCAGTCTGGAATAGTCACATTTTTTCCAATCCATCTTTGAAGCAGCTTGTCACTGTTAGTGATCTGTTCTTAGAGGATAAATAAGGCAATATGGCCTCCCTGCTTATTCTTCCTTTACACAGTGTAGTAGCTGTTTTTCTATAGTGTTGCATGGGAAGTTTAGGGTGAGTTTGTTCCTGTTTCATGTTCACTGCTTTCCCCATCCCCAGACTGGAATGTAGAGGCAATTCCAACTGCATTCATGGCCAGAGCCATCCTTACCACAGTGCCAGTGCCTGGCTGGCTCAAGAGCCACTTGCTGCTGAGCATGAGGTTAATGAAGAGTTAAGGCAGTGAACTCCAAGAGTAGCTGTGTTTTTGTTGGTGAATAAATAGTTTTCTTTTAATCAGCTCCTGCTACAAGTTCAATGTGTTCCCCTCTGCCATTGATTTTCCTGGGCTGTGTTAAGCTCAGGAGAAGTCAGCTCCCCTTGCTGTGATTACAATCAGTGCCCATAATGGCCCAGAGACCAACATGGGCCTGATGCTAATTTGGTGCCTGGCAGACCAGCACAGCCACAAATGTCCCAAGAAATTAATTTAGCCTTTTATCCAGCAACTCCCAATCTGTACAGTGGTGATTAACACAGCTGCCTTCCCTCAGAGGACTTTTTGCAAGGATAAATACATCGGAGTTGGAGGTGTTAGGACTCAAAAACTGAGATAAATACACCCTGAGAGACCCAGAGAAGTGCTGCATGGGAATGTCTGGCATGGAGTAACCTTGAGCATGTCCTCATCAGTGATGCACAAAGCCCTGTGAAGCAGAGACCTCCACTCTGTGGACATTTTTGTGTTTACAAGCCTCAGCCTTCGCTGCACTTTTGGTATCTGCATCTCTGCAGTGCAGTCTGATCAGGAGGGGGAAAAACTGGCTGGGATTTACATATCTCATTTTCTTTGGGATATGAAAAACAAGTTCAGAGCCCAGAGCTGTGACATCTGTGACAGAAACAGCCCAGGCCCTCCCCTCCAGCCTCCCTTTCCAACACAGAGGTGCTGCATCTCCAGGGGCAGCTGTTCCCAGAGCAGGAAGGTTAAAAAAGGGCTTTACCCACATCCTCTTCTGGCAGTCTGAATTGCCACAAGAGATGACTCTGGGGGTCTGCACAAGCCCAGAGGCACACTCAGAGAGCACCCAAAGGCTGCTGGAGGGGGCAGATACCCAGGAGGTGCCAGGGGATGTCAGGGAGGGGGTCTGGGCAGCCCTTGCTGTCTTAGCTGAGCAAACTCAACCTCCTTGTACTGGGAGGAAACTTTTGGGGAAGTGAGGAACACTGCAAATATAATCAAATTTGAATTTACACTGCTGGGCAGAGCATAGTTCTCTGGTTTGGCTCATTCTCCCCTCACAATCTGCTACAGCCTTCTGTCCTCTGAGTGCCCTCACTGAGCCCAGGCAGAGCTGGGATCCCTGGGTCTGCCCTGGCACAAAATTCCTGCAGGAGCTGGAGGAGCAATCTGCCAGGTCTGGGCAGAGCCTCCCTCTGCATTGCACAGCAAGATGCTCAAAGGTGACCTGAGAGGCTGCCTGAGGAGCTAAAACACCTCCCCATGAGGGCAGGATGTGCTCCTGTGTTTGGGATGAGTCCCCATGTTTGGGATCTGTCCCCATATTTGGGATCTGTCCCTGTGTTTGGGATGAGTCCCCATGTTTGGGATCCGTCCCCATATTTGGGATCTGTCCCTGTGTTTGGCTCTGGTGGCTGGGGATGCTGAGGGGTGGCTCTGAGTGTCCTGCAGACAGATCTCCCTGTCCAGCTCCTGCAGAGGACTCAGTGCCACTGAGAGCAGGGAGACCCAGCTCTGGTTTTTAGGCAAGAAAGGCACTTTTTGCCCTTTTTTTACCTTTTTTGCCCTTTTTGCCCCCCCAGCCCACAGCAGGGCCTTCATGCACACCTTGTTTTTAAGAGCCCTGCCAAGGAGCTTTCCCAAAGAGAAGGCTGAGATGTCAGGAAGGAAAAGCCCTGATTTCAGGCTGCAGTTTGCAGTTTGAACTTGCTCTGAACTTTCTAAATAGAGGACAGCTGACATGATACTCATTTACAGTAAGTTTATTTCTCAGTGCATTACATGAAAGGTCTTTGGTATTTGTGGGTCCTTGAATACTGTTCCCACTCTGCTCCGTAAGAAAATGCTGAATACAAAACATTCCATATACAGTAACAAACCCCATAGCAAATAAAGAGAAATAGATATTTTGAACAATAACATAGCAATATGAAAACAGATAAGTAACCATGCAAGAGGTGGAACAAACAGGTTGTGTTTACAACAAACATTAAAGCCTGCCATAAATGAGTTCATCCTGTCAGACGAGATTTATTCTTGCTCTAAGTTAAGAAATTACACGTGATTGCAAGATACTGCCTATGGCTGCCCTATAAAAGACCAAATGGTTGTAAAGCTGATCCCCAGGAGAGAAGCCAGGACCATTGGCACACATACAAAACACACTGATATAAATAAAAAAGGTACTGTGTAAAATAACTGGTGAAGAAGTTACCATTTCCTTCTGTGGCTGGGCATGTGCCTCGTGAACAATTATAGCACCTTTCAATGCCTTGGCTTCACAGGAAACCAAGAAATCACAGAGACTCTGAGTAGTTTAACCCCTACACCCCCAGTGGAATGTCATCTGGAGTCAGAAGACGGTATAAACCTGGAGGAGGATGGGTTTGCAATCATTGCATCAGGAGGGAAGTCCAGGAGCTGATTGTCTCTGGAAGCCTTTGTCACAGTGCTCAGGGTCCCCTGTGACAACAGCCCATGGCAGACACTGGAGCAGAGCCCACACAGCACCAGCACTGCTGCTCCAGGGCTGGGGCTGATTTTTAAGGCCTGTTCCTTTGAAAGTTGATCACAAAATGACTCTGGAGTTTGGTGGGAGCAGGTGAGGGCTCTTCTCTCTAGCTATTTCCTGTTTCCCTGGGTTGCTAGCAATTCCTTACAGTAAGTGCAAATTAGACCCTCTGGAGAGGAGCATTCCCTGCCTCCCAGGAGCTGCAGGTTGCTGGTGAATGTGAGGGTGCATGACTTGCAAAGGGTTTTTGTTGTGCAATGTGCTGCTTCTGGTTAGCTCAGGGCAAGGAAAACACTACTACTACCAGAGCTGAGCCAAGTCAAAAACACACTGGAGCTCAAACAAACATCAGGAATTTCAAAAAAGTCTTAGGGGAAAAAAAAAAAGAAAAAAGAAAAGAACACACTATGGTATTGCACAGTATGTATGTAAGATAAAGCACTAAACATTTCAATTAAAATATATTTCTAAATGAGCACGCATTCAAAATAAATCCCCTAAATTACATAGACATGGCAAGAAGCATTATATGCCCTGGCTGAAATGAACCTCGGGATCTGCCCATGATGGAGAATGTGGCTGGAGTGGTTTGCTTGGTCATCAATCTCATCAATGTCAGTGTGTGAGGCTGTGCTCACCTTTAAATGTCATTAAAGTGGGGTGGCACAACAGTGTGGTGCAGCCCTCGTGTGAGTGGAGAGGATTGAAACCCCAGCAGAGAGAGAAAGTCCATCTGGTATAATCCTGCTGTCCCCCATTTAAAGATACAGCACCTCATCAGAGAGATGGGGCTAAACAAAGCAAAGAGAAAAAATTACACAGCTCATACTATCAATAATTAAAGTGGTCTCAACCCAAACCTGAACAGCTTTTTGACAATTGACTTGGCAGGATTAGTTGCAAATAACTTCCATTAAATTTTCCTTTCATCTTGTCAGTAAATTTGTTTTAAATAATATAAAATTCCAAATCCATGTCAGTATGAATGCTGCAGCAATGTCAGTGACTAAAGAATTACTTTGAATTCAGAAGACAAACTTGGAGAAAGAAAGATTTCTCTTCCAGTTCAGTGTGAAGCCTCTGAAATGCCAGGGAAGTAAAAATGGCCTCATTGTATTCCCTCTTCCCTAAATTCAACCCTGTAGCTACAGGACCAGTGAAACTGAATTTCCCCATTTCCCTTTTCAAAGGTTTCTTTGGTTGGGTTTGGTTCCTGAAGTTGCCATGAGCACAGATTGTTCCTGTGGCCTCAACTGCAGCTGGCACCAGCCTGCCCAGTGCAGGAGTTTAGACTGAACTGAGATTTCTCCTCACTCCCCAGGCCTGATGTTCCAACACCAACTGGCTGATTTATCTCCTGGAAGCCACCAGTGAGGTCTTGGAGTGTCCATGTGATTCAGACCAAGATGGTCCCAATTCACCCCAGAGGTAACCAAGTACTTCTCAATTCCTGCACAGGAATCATCCTTGTTTTTGGACATTTAATTCTCAGATGGAATGATTATTCCAAGAATGTTCCCATGGCTGAACCTTGCTTGGCTGGCCACAAACAAAGCTCTTGCCCTGCCAGTAGTGAAGGAGGGACTTGGGTTCTTAGAGCACCCCAGACATCCTCAGAGTTAAGGCTGGGTTTAGAATTAGTGCTGGGGGTGAAACCAAGATGCATTCAGAGAGCTTTATTTCCTTCTCCCCAAGGGACTGCAGATACAGGATGGCTCCTTGAGCTCAGGAACCCGTTGGACTTGAGTTTTACTCATTTCCTTGTCTCTCTACACCACAGCTGTAACTCAGAGTGCAGCCAGAGACTCCCCAGGCTCCTGCAAAGCTCTGGGTTTGTTTCTTGGGAAATTCAATCATTCAGAAGCACAACCTGAACCAGGTGAGCTGAATGAGCCCCACAGCTGGCACTGACCAAGCAGGGGGAGGATGCAAAAGCAGCATCCCTGCTGCCTCCAGCACAGCTGGTTGTTGTTCAGCTGCACAGCAGTAAAAGCAAAGTTCTGGTGCTTGCTCAGATCAGCTTTGCCATTTCACCTGCCTGGGCATGGCTGGGTTCCTGAGGAGCAGGGCCAAGTCAAGGCATAGTGGGTTCAGCCATCCTAATGGAGCCTGTAACCTGCTAATTTGTGGAAATTCCAGGCTCTTCAGAGGAAGGATTGGGATTGTCTCTGCTGGTAGCACACTGCCATGTTTACAGTGTTTATGGACAGTCAATTTAATGTGGGGCTGATGCTGGGCTGGCAGAGCTCCTCCATTTTCAGCCTCATTTCCAGTGGGCTTTGCCTTGGGAAGATCCCTTGGGGTGCTGGATCAGGGACAGCAGTGTTTTCTTTGGAAAGCTGCTGACAGAAACACTGCAGCAGTGCAGCCCAGCGTGCTCACACAGCTGCACTCTGCACAGGAACCAGACACACAGGGGCCATAACACAACTCAATTTGCTCACTTTTGTCCTGGGCTGAATTTGAGAACTGTCAGAATGTGGGAACTAAAAACAAAAAACTGTCCAGTCAGTTTTGTTGATTAACCTCCCCCTTCTAACAGAAATCACTGTCTACATGGATGACATCAGCTTGTCTGACCTGGTTAGCACAGCAGGTGGAGTGATTCATTTGTCACTGAAGGGCAGGTTCAACTTCTTAAACCTGGAAGCTGGTACTTCCCCTAAAATAACCAGTTATTGCAAAAAGGAAAATGACTCTGTATGTAACTCCCAGTGCAAGATAAGCTCCTGACAAGACTCTAATTCCCTAGACTGTGGTTTGCTCCTACACTGTCTCCAGATCTAAATGGTGAGGATTTACTCACAAGATTAAAACAAAACACTGTGAAAACATTTTTCCTGATTGCTGTAGGATTAAGAAACTATATCCTTTTCTGTGAATAGCTACTGCCACCACTTAAATTAATTATCTCTGGATGTATGCACAAGCTGAACACAGTATGGGAAAATTCTTGCACAATTCCATCATATCTCATGCAAACTGCTCTATGTTTTCACAGAAATAGTCTAAACTCTCTGAAGATAGACAGAAAGCCAATGTTTCTAGGAACATTTGCATCAAAAGTCCTTGTTTAGCCAACCACAAATAGAAATAATGTCACTCACAGGCAATTAGCAACATGAAAAGCCAGGATTTTGTTGCTAAAATCCAGAGAGCCACCTGAATTTTCAGAGTAATACTTTTAAATGTAATTGGTATTCTAATTTGCTCTTTGCTTAAAAGAAATCCTTGCAGGTCATACAGGAAATAAAAGCAGATGTCTCCAACTGCAGCAATGGACAAGGCTGAGGTTTGGCTTTGGCTCTGGGTGGGATGGGTGGGCTTGGCCAGTTAAGCAGAGCTTTACTGAGTGACTGCCAAGGGCAGGGAGAGAACAAGGGCAGGGTTAAACCCTGGAGGCACAGCCAGGAGGTGCCGCTCCTGTAGGCAGCTTCTGAGACACCTGACAACTGCTATTCCAAAGGCAAAACAAAATCAAGGAAAACATTCTCAAAACCCTCTCTGAGCTATGGATAAGTCATTCCCTGCAACCAGGGCTCAGAATTGGCCAGGGAAGGAAACCCAGCCACCAACACTGCAGCCTCCCACCCTCTTCATCTGCAGGGTGCAATTCAGCACTGGGTACTGGATCTTGAACTGCAGAACAGGCAGGGAGGACACAGAGATGCTCCTACTTCATCCTGTGGCTTCTCCTTCTGGCTTCAGCATCATCCAGCAGGGAGGAGAGGATCTGGTGGGCCTGGGGCTGCCGGGGTCCTCCTCGCTTGATCTTGATGCTGCTTCTCAGGGGGGAGCCTGGGATCGCATCCTGTCCAGAGCCTGGCTCAATGGAAGACAAAGAGTCTGTAAGGAGAGAAAGTCATGGGAGAGCACTATTTAAAAGGGGAGGCTGAGGAAGGCACTCGTGGGCCCTTCTGAGTGGTTCCTCTTGTGGGAGCAGTGTGCTCCTGTCACTGGCCAGGGGCTGTGTATAAATGGGAAAATGGGATGGGACTGCTGAGAACATGCCTTGAGCTGTTTGATTTTCCAGCATCAGCCTCATTACATGGTTATGGCAATGGGAAGCTGCCAGCAGCTCACATCCCAGGCAGCAGATAAAAAACTCAATGTTACAACTCACTTTAAAAGTTTTTTGGCCAATCACACAAAGCAAAAGCACATTGACAGTAGTTCTATCTAATCACTATAAGCACACATACCTTTGGTTAAACAATGCTTGCTTATTTTGAATACAATACCTGCTTGTGAGCCTTAAAACACAATGCACAGAGCTCCATTATTGGGCTTAGAACTTCCTAATATCTCACTAGACAAACTTTTCTGCAGCTTAGAGAGTTATTCTAGCCAAGTGTTAATACACAGACCATTGTTCTATTTGTCCTTACTTTTCTACTTTTTACATAATTTTTCTACTGACCTATCTCATGGCTGCTGCTTAGCTCCAATCACAGTTCTGCTGTCTCTGAGGCCTGCCTTGTGCAGCTTTCCCAAAACCCTCTGATTTTATGGATCCCCACAATCTCCCTCCTGTTTGCTCTCCATGCAGGAAGCAGCTTTGGAGCTACAGCTTTGGTGCCATCACACTTTTCCTGCATGAGATGTTTCCCCTCTGCTCTGCCTGAGCTCTTTGGGGTAAGTGCTCCTACTGCAGGGCCTGTTCTCCTTTGTAGTTCCATTTCTAAAGTGCTGTTCTCTTGTGTTGGTGAAGTCCTCAGAAAGAGGTGAGAGATGAGAATCTGACTCCATGTTCTCAGAAGGCTGATTTATTATTTTATTATATAAATATTAAGGAATACTATACTGAAACTATACTAAAGAAAGAGAGAGGATACTGACAGAAGGCTTAACAAGAATGAGTAATAAAACCTTGTGACTGACTCCTCAGGGTCCGACACAGCTGATGGTGATTGGTCATTAAGTAAAAACAATTCACATGGAACCAATCAAACATGCACCTGTTGGTAAACAATCTCCAGACCACATTCTAAAGCAGCAAACTTTGGAGAAGCAATCAGATAATGATTGTTTTCATTCTTTTCTTAGGCTTCTCAGCTTCCCAGGAGAAGAAATGCTGGTGAAGGGATTTTTCAGAAAATATCACAGTGACACTGTTCTTACATTAATTATGAATTTACTTGGGCTGCAGCAGCTACTCAGACTCCTGGTGTTGGAGGATGAGCTGGTGGGCAGTGGCCACAGATGCTCTTAGGGTTCAAGTACCATTTTCACTCCTAGTAAAGGACATTTGGAGGCACTGAAAGGATTGAATGGAAGGATTGACCCACCCTGGGCTGCAGCCAAACCAGCAACAATGCTGGGGATGGATGGTGGCTGTCCCTGCTCCCAGAGCACCTCCAGGTAACAACCTCCTGCTCTTCCCTCTGAACAAATTCAATGTACACTGCTCTGGGCCACTCTTCAGCAACACATGCTGGTGGCTTGATCTGCCTCATCATTTCCAATGTCTGAATTTCTTCTTCCTTCTCCCTCCAGAGCTGGGTGTTTGTGTTTCCCTGCCAGGAGCCCAACGTGCCAGCCTTGGTTTGATCCCACCAGGCAGCGTTTCTGTTTCCAGTGAGATTTTGGCTGCTGGAGGATTTGGGCTCTGTCTGCTGGCACCAAGCCCTGCCAAACAATTTGGGCTTTGCTGTGTCGTGCTGGGCTGCTCTCTGCAGCTCCCAGGCCAGGTCAGCTCCAGCTGCCCTCCCAGGGCAGAGGAGAGGTTTGTTTGCTCGGATGTTTTGCCTCGTTGCTTGGCTGGCTGTGGTTTTGGAAACCACACTCAGTGGGAAGATTCTTGGGAAAATGAGAGCATGGGATTGGCATTTCTGAGTGGGGTTTTAAAGCTGGGTTGCCCCAGAACTTGTGGTCAAATCCTTAACACCTACAGTGGGAACATGACCAGAGAGTTGGTGCTGGGTGGTTTAAACCTCTATGGTGCCTTTCAGTCCAGGGAGGTCTGTGCTCAAGGAAAATATTTTTTGTTATTTAATGTCTTTTCTCTTTGTTTGTTGGAGTTTTTTAACCATAAACACAAAGATGAATTGCACAAGGAAAATATGCCTTAATTTTCAAGTACAGTATTTTTTTTAGGGCCTAAAATATGTGTGAAGTGAAAGAATGGAACTATTTCAAAAGCACAGAATAGGAACACAATTATCAATACCTATGGGACAAAACCAACCCTAAAGTCATACAATATAGGTGTTTAAATATGACCTAAGCACAGTGCACAATTAAAAAACATCCATTTTTGCTGATGCAGTTCCACTGGTATAGAAGTACAGATGGGTGTAAATAACTCATCTTCATCCCAAGCAGTAACAGATCAATACAAATGGTTTGCTGAAATGACTGTTTCAAAATAACAGCAGCACATGCCTTGCTGCTGCTGTATTTCCACAGAGAATGCGAAAAACAGCTAAATCAGGCAGCTGTGCTGGGGCAAGGTGTGTGAACCCCACTCCCAGGGTCTACAGAAGATCCCTAAGGATGTCATTTTTTGCTTTATACCACTGTAAATGAAGGTACAAAGTAAAAGCCAAAAGAGTCCCAGACCCTAGATCTTGTAAACCCCTTTTTCTAATGGACTCATCCACGGAACCCCCCTTTCCCTCCTCCCTGGAGATCACCCCAGCTGGCATGGGTTGCTGCCCAGGAAATCCAGTGGGCATCTCCCTGGTACCTCCACCATCTCAAAGCAAAGCAGCTTTTTATACATTTTTATACAAAATACATAAAAATACATTTTTCTACCCTTGGAATGAAAATGTGAACTGAAGCAGGGTTAGAGCAGAGGTAAGGTCAGGGTGAGTGTGGCTGAATCATGGGGTTGTGATTCAGGGTTTCCCAAAAATCTTATGCTGTTGCTGCCTGTTGCTTTTGGAAATAGAACTTGGAGCCTCCAAGGGCAGGAGGCCACTGAGCTGTGTTGCTCTGATTTTTTAAGATTTTCTATGCCTTCTGATGTTTACATTCTTGTAACAAACTTTCTCACATACTTTTTGTAAATAACTTATTGTTTTGTATTCTTTTATGGAAGAAGAGAAACTTGATGGACTGTTGGTTTGTCCAGTGGCATTGGACAGGTGGCACTTTCACCCTCCAATCCACTGTCACTTTTAAAAAACGATAAATGTTGGAGTCAGAAAATAAACTTCTCTTTTTTCACCTTGAGAGCAGCAGTGTGTGTTTTGTGTCCTGCAGTGACAGAGCAGAGCAGGCTCCAGCCCAGCCATGCCCTGGCACTGGAAGGGTCCAGCAGCAATTCCACCCCAGCTCTGCTGGCTCCAGACAGGGCTGGGATCCCCAGGCGCTGCCTGCAGTGCTTGGGATGGAATTACTGTGCAGTGAGGCACTGTCAGGACTGCTGGGCAATTCAGCTGCTTAGCATTCCCACAGCTTAAATCAATCTCCAAAGGCCACATCCCAATAAAAGTGGATGCTGATCTGAGGGGAGGTGTGAGGTGGGCTCACAAGCAAGGCCAGGAATGAGGTTCCATGTGTCAAGGACAGAAAAGTGCTCTGGGATTTGCTCAGTGCCATGGAGCAGGTTTGCTGCTCACAGGCTGGGGCAGCAGAGCCAAACATTTTGCCTCTGACTGTTTCTGAAACACAGAAGGTGTTTGTTGTTCTGGCACAGAAGGTTTTGGCAGCTGGGAGAGAACTAACTGATCCTTGGCTACAGCCTGGCAATAACCAACTCCTGTGACAATAACCACCACCATCCTGTGGTTAAGGGAAGAGAACATTCTTTAAAGAATGATGTACACCCTGTCCCAGTGATGGGAAAGCCAACAGCCTCAAGAAATCACAAAAATCTATCTGAATGTAAAACATGTGGGACTTTCTTTAAATCTGACTGTGAAAATAGGTTTCATGTAAGTTATGACCACAAAATGTTGAGGGATCACTGGTTTTCAGGGTGACATGAAAATCACTGATTTTCAGGGTGACATGGCAGCTCTGTCTGGGCTTTCCCTGCAAAACCTGGTGCTGCACAAAGCAAGGGCCTCAGAGGTGTTCAAGTCACTTGGAAGATGCTGTTAACAGGATTAAATGATCTGGCCTAAAGACTTGAACAAGCAGCTCTGTGGGAAGCTGGTGGATGATCTGTGCCACATGGCTTGAGCTGCTGCTCATGACTTGGCTGCCTGAACTGTAACAAAAATCACTGTAAGGGTCATTTCACCTGCTACTGGAAAGCCAGAAGAAATAGTGCAGCTGCTGGAACTCAACTCAAAACTAATTCATGGTACCCAGTTTTGAAAATGGGGCTTGAACAGACACCAGAGAGCTCAGGAGAATGGGAGGATGTTTAACCATCAATCCTGAGCAGAGCCCTGGTTCCCTGGAGAAGAAAACATTAGCAGTGCTTACCATGAATTCCTATCATGTGCTCAAGGATCAATACCCTCTCAGCTAAAATCTTCAGAGCCTCTCGAAGCTGTTGGACACCTTCCCCCTGCAAGAAAGAAAACAAAAACATTGGAATGTGTTCCAGAATAGGCTTCTTGTCCATAATGTCACTTTTATAGCACCAAACCCTGCAGTGAGCATGTTTAAAAATGAAAAGATGTAAAAGATGAGGTAACCTAAGTAGGAGTGCAGGAGAAATCCCTGTTCAAAGAGCTCCCCATGTACACTCAAGCTGTAGTTTGTTGTCCTTGTCACCTTAGGTGTGGGCTTGAAGGGCCAAAGAGATGTTGGGAAGTGTTTCAGGGATTGAGAGCAGAGATGTGAGAACTCCAATGCTCTGCTCTTGCAGTTTGGTCTCTTTTTGGAGTCTGTCCCTCAGCAGCTGGGAGGGACAATAGGGAAGCAATTCCCAACCAGCTCCATGTGACAGAGCAACCTCTGGGGACTGAGGTGCTCAAGAACATGGTGACAGCATGGCCAAGGAAACCTCACAGACCAGAATTTCTGGCACACAATAAATTCAAATCCAAGGCACCCTTGCTCTGCACATTTAACTGTGGACTCACCCTCTGGCCCCCCAAACCCACCTGTCAAAGGGTTGAGGGACAGCAAAGTGACAAAACCAAAAGTAAAACAATAGAAACACATCCTTACATCAGCACCTTTGTCTCCTTCCTCACCCTTCTTGCCTGGTTCACCCTGAAACAAAGGAAGGAAAATTGGTTACTTGTGGCTGAGGAGCCTTCCAGGAGCCCTCAGATCCCTCCCCACCAAAGGAGCAAATTAAAGCAGCATTTCACCAGCAGGAAACACAAGGACCTTCATGCCAAGGGCCAAAGTGCTCTCCTGAGCTTTGCCCTGGCTCCTGTCAGCTTCCCAGGAGGTCAAAGGCACTTCTAACACAAATGAGCTTGTTCAGGAGTGGCCAAGCTGCAGGAGGAGCCACTGCCATGGCCTGCCCCAGCACGGCCACAGACATCTCACTATGCTCTCAGATAAATTGCTCCTTTCCCCCCAAAATCCATGTTTTCATCCTGATCTAGAACAGAAACCCCCTCCATTCTGCTTTCATTAATTAGTCACATCCCTTTCTGCCTCTGAAGATGCTCATTAAGCTTTTCTTGAACAAAGATCTCTCTGTGCTGGGAACATTGCTCCCATGTTTCCCCCAGCCAGGAGGTTCATGCACTTTCTGAAGAGCAGGTGACAGGGAGAGATTCAACCACTCTAAGCTAAACATAAAACAAAACTAACAATCTAAAACAGACTGGAAAGGCTTGGCCTCCTCAAATTTGGATATCCCTGAGACATTTCCAAAGCAGAGGTGAGCACAGGAGGAGGGACCAAGGAAAATGTTGTGTGAATTGTATGAAATTATGAGATGGAACCAAGGAAGAGAGATCAGAACCCTCCCAGAGGCTCTGGGGCTTCTCTAGAACCTGCCAGCCAAAAAAAACCACCAATTTTCTCCACTAGATCTCTGTCAGCCAACCTTCACCACCATTGGTTTATTTCCACTGGCCACATGTGCCAGTGCAGACATCTCCTCTGGGCATCTGTCCAGTTATTGCCAAAAATTCATTTGGACACATCTCTTAACCTCATTGCAGGGTTTCCAGCTCAGCTTGGCCAGCTGAGGTGCAGGAGGGAGTTGAGAGCAGCTGATGGACTTTGAGCTGTTTGACTGTGCCCACCTTTGGTGCCAGGAGCTGCTGTGTGTGCCCAGAGGGATCTGCAGGCACAGCCCAGCCCCCTGATCCCCCCTGGTCACATCAGCACTGTGCTTTACACCAGGAATGCTTCATTTGCACAGGGATTTGTTAAGGTGAGAGTATCTATGGAACAAATATCTGAGCTGGAGCCTGTGACAGTGTTCACAGGGATCTTAGGATGAGGGAAGAGATGAGGATCTGACTCCATGTTTCAGAAGGCTTGATTTATTATTTTATGATATATATTACATTAAAACTATACTAAAAGAATAGAAGAAAAGGTTTCATCTCAGAAGGCTGGCCAAGCCAAGAATAGAAAACAATGAAAGAATGATAACAAAGGCACCTGTCCCGGGCTCTCTGCCTGAGCCAGCTGACTGTGATTGGCCATTAATTATAAACATCCACCATGGGCCAATCACAGATGCACCTGTTGCATTCCACAGCAGCAGATAATCATTGTTTACATTTTCTTTCTTGAGGCCTCTCAGCTTCTCAGAAAGAAAAAATCCTAAGGAAAGGATTTTACATGAGAAGATGTCTGAGCTGGAGGCAGCAGAGCTCAGCTCTGGAGCAGCTCCAGTGGCCCCTGCAGTGCCAGGCACCAGCCCCAGCTGAGCCTGGCACCACCCACGAGTGCAGCACTTACAGGGAGTCCCTTAATGCCCCTCTCTCCAGGCAGACCTGCTTGCCCCTGTTGGAAATAAAGGCAGTGTCATTAGGAGATACTTTGCCACTTGACAAAAACACAGTGTAAATTTTACTAGTGGAATTAAGATGGCTTAATGGGAAAAAAAAAAACCTTACACTTGGGATAATATGTAAAAAAAAATTCCTCTCCCTTGACATTATCACTTAGAGACAGCAAAAGGGGGTTATGGTTTTCTGTCAAGTATCAGCTCCAAATCCCATCAGGCTCTGGAGGAGCTGGTTGGATACAGAGCTCCTGAGCTCAGTGCCCTCTCTGTAAGACGATTAGCAGGTTTTCTGAACTTTCCAGCAGTCAGTTACATTATAGCAAGAAGGAATTTGGCTGGAGATTTGTTCCTTACAAAGACACTGCATTCTTCTCTCTGGTAGAAGTGATGCTGCCCCAGCCAGAACAGAGCCCAGGACTCCCACCAAGCCCTGATTTAATCTGCTCCTGCTCCACACACCCCACAGCTACTGATCAAAACACAGGTACAATATTTTGGTCGGTTTGTTTCTTTCTCCTGCTGCGCTAATTTCACATTGTTCTCAGTGAGAGGTTTTTGTTCTTTTTTCAAAAATTATTTTATTTTTTCTTTAAGAGAAACAGTTTGAGCTAGTATGTGTTGGTTTGGGGCAGAATGAAATGCTGTTGAACTGAACATCTTTTCCCACCCTGGAGCAGCTGGGGCAGGGCAGAATCCCTGACCAGGAGAGCAGTTACAGGTTATTTAGTGAGAAAGCAGGGGCTTGGGAAGAAGAAGCAAAATGTAAAAGCATTCATAGAAATCCATTAATGAAACAGCCACATATTTCCCCTGGCTCTTTCCTGCAGACACACACAGCAACAAACCCATCCTTTCCCCCCCCCCCAAAAAATATATACATATATGTACATGTACAAATATATGTACAAATGTGTATATGTATGTATATGTAGTACATGTATATATAATATATGGTATTATAGTATATATATACATATATTACATATATGGTAGTGGAAAGGGAGAGCTGCTGGGTTTGTGTCCATCAAATTTGTATAAAACCAAAGGGCACCTACAGAACATTCCCATGGAATTAATTCCTATGGAATGCCTTGCCAGCACCAGGAACAGACCTCTATGGACAGGGAGAGAAGCCCTGTCTGTCAGGTGCTCCCAGTATCTTCAAAGGGAAATACTTGGATTCTGCACAGGCAAGACGAAAAATCTCAGAGAAGAGCACAACAACAGACTGAAAATACATAAACAGCCTGTGCTCCATGTCCAGGAGGGACAGAAAGGATGTTATCAGCTTAAAGGGGATCAAAGGATATTTAGGCTGGATGTTGGCAATATCTTTTATCCCAGCCTCCCTGGTTTTGCTCTGAAGAGTGCCTGGAGATGCTGGGGAGCCTCCCTGGCTGGGCTGAGCAGAGGCTAAGCGTGAGCAGCACACAGAGCTGAGCCATCCAGGGGCTGTGTCTGACTGCTGCAGGTCTCTCCCACATCTGTTCTCTCCCAGATTAAGCAGGAAGAATGTATAATAACATTTCCTCAAATCTCAGTAGATGTTGTAAACCTCCCCCTCCCCTCTGCTTTTCTTTGCAGCTGCACAGCTCCTCTGCTCGAGCCCTCATTTTTATCCACCAAACCCAAAATTGCAGCATGCAGTTGTCAAAACCAGCATTCAAAGCCACACTCACAAAAGACAAAAAGCACACAGAGCACCCTACAGAAATTACGACAGAAAAAGCTGCCAGCTTCCCTTTCCACACTAACTGGGTGGGTTTTTTTTCTATTTATCAAGACATTTTGATATTTGAAAATCTCATTTGTCCCAAACCTAAGAGAAGAATTAAAATTCTAAATCCCTAGCAAGGAGAGAACAAAACCAAATTCTAAGGGATCTGTCAGGAGTGAATGAACACAATGCAACAGGATTTTGTTTCAAAATAAGTGTAGCAATAATATGGTATATTAGTAGTAATATTAGTAAGATGGTCAACCACAAACTACAGCAAAATGTTAAATAAAGCCTCAAGGAAGAGTTTTATCTGTTTCCTGGATGGAAATGTGACACTTTGCCACACACCATGCATTTCTATTTTTTAAGCTGAAAATAAAGATTGAATGGCAATGAGATGCAGTTGGTAATCAGTTCAGGTTTTGCTCTCTACCAGAATTTTGAATTCTAGTCCCAGAACTCCATCAGTCTGCAAACTATTTGCAAAGCCAAGTCATGCCCAAACTGGCTGAGCTGCACAAGGAAAATGTTACAAAAAATGACCAACAGCCACTCTGTCTTTCAGGGAAGTGCAAGTGATTTCTGATGTAAGAACAGGACCAAACACCCAAAACTAAACTATAACAGAGATTTCCAAAGGCAGATGTGCCCCACCCTCAGATCTCTGCTGCTCCTGGTGCCTCAGGAGGGTGCAACAAGCCCCTTGCACAGTCTGCACTGTGAGGAGCAGTTTGTCTGTGGCTGGTTATTCCCAGGAATTGGAGAAGGCAGCACACTGGAGCTCACTGATCTGCATTTTCCTGTCCTGGCTCTTTGAGGCTCCTCTGCTCTGCTGGGTTGGAAGGGGAGCAGGAACGCAGAGGAGGTTCTGTCCTGGGGGAATCACACACCTGCAGCCCCCATCACCCCATCTGTGGGACAGGAAACCTGGGAGGGAAAGGAGCTTGGCTCCCACAGCTGTGGCAGTGCAGCCACCACTGCAGACATCCACCACTCCACAGGAACCAAACAAGGTTTGCCTGCTTGTCCCTGTCCCTTCCTTCGGCTCTCTCCATGCTGGGGTCTCAGTGGCTCTCCACAGTCCATGTGCCCATTTCAGACCTAAGGGCTGATGATCCTCTGCCAAAGATCACTCCCAAGTGATTTTGTGCTCCTAGACTCACCCAGAGATTTCAGACCATGATCTTTTGGCAATTCAGCTGGACAGAAGCAGCCAAAGGCCCAAATTCCCCTTTCAAACCCTTCCCAGTGCTTGAATGCTGGACTGGGAATCTGACACATTTACACCCTCGTCAGATATTTCTCTGGTAGTTCCTAAACTTCACCAGTTTGGAATTAACATTCAAACCCTGATCAGTTATCAGCACTGGACAGCCCACCGAGGACTGAGGCACATAAACATTAAGAACATGACTTCAGTATTCCAAATATGTTAAGAACATCATTAGACCTGGGGAATGACTTTGGTTGAGGAAAATCTGGTGAGTTTTTAAAGCCTTAGTGCCACAGAAGGAAGAGTTCAGTTAGACCTCTCAAAACACTCCACACTAAACAGATTTGGCTGGTGTAAGAAAGTTGGTCTCCACAGGCCTTTGTCCACCATGTCTTTGCTACCCCTTTGGGGTATCAAATGTAAATTAGTAAATCTAAATTAGCAAATCTGCTAATCTCTTTGGGGAATACCTGACTTTGCAAGGAATTCAACTCTTTCTCTGTACAGAAAACCTCATCTTGGTCCCTCCAGAAACCCCAGAAACTCTGAATTTAAAGTTGGTGGTGGCTGTGGTCCCACTGCATCTGTGAGACCTGTGCTGTGTAAAATTCCACAGCTCCCAGGTGCTGTGGGAATCTCCCTGTGCCTGTAAATCCTTACTCTCTCTCCTCGGTCTCCTTTGGATCCTTTTGGTCCAGGCTGTCCTGGAGATCCTGGCAAGCCCTGGAAGAGATGCAGAATGAGAAGGAATTAATTTCTACTGTGCAACCTTTGTGTAGGTGTGGTGAATACACTTCCCAGTGATCCTCAGCTCCTGAAAACCTCATACACCCATTAAGCAATTGGGCTGGATTCTCTTTTTCCCTCAAGCACACACAACAGGAGCTCTGTTTGCAGATATCCCAAGCCCTGCACTTTCTGCAGATCCCTCTATTTGGTTCTTTTAATGCACTGCAGGCCCCTGATGTAACATTTTTTTGGGGTCAGTATGACAGGACAGTTCTTGTTCTCAGTTACCAAGAAGAAATTAATACACAGGTACTGTGTTTAACTTAAAAATCCCCACTGCTTCCCCCTACTTCTTAATTGCCTCAGTGGGTGGCAGGAGCAAGCACACATACCTGAAAATTAATTGGATTTTGTAGTGGAAATTATTTTGAAGCTATTCACTCACCCTAATAAACAATTTTGAAATTAAGCCCAATCTCTGCTAATAATTTTACTCCCTGGGTTGAACAAATCTATAAAGCAGTCACCAATGGCTAAGAAGGGCACAGTCTCCAGATTTCTACTAATTGAACTGCTATGCAGAAATCGATCCAAATTCTTCACTTATCCACCCAGAGAAGCCACAGTTATTAACCAGACCATGAGAGAACAATATTGTTTGTTTATATTCAGCCTGTCAGCTCTCCTCCTCTCCACAAGATGCTTTTTTTCCACCTCAGGTGACTTGCACGTTGTCTGGGAGGCTTCAGAAGTGAGTTTGGAGCTCCTCTCCAGGCCACTGGGGATTTGAGCCAGCCTGGTTTGGAACAGCCCCACAAATCCCCACATCAGCACCCAGAGAAATGGGGTTTGCAGGCCCAGAGAAAGGAGCATGGCTGTGAGGAGCTCAGACCCAAGGAGGTGGCACACATGTGATCTAAGGGAGAAAATGAGGAGCCCTCTCCCATTCCAGCTGGGAGCCAGCAGTGCTCACCAGCAGCACCTTGTTCCCTGCCTGCAGCCAGCCCCACCAAGCATTCAGAGACTTAGGCCTGGCTTAGGAGCTTCCCTGGGGCTGCCAAAGCAGGCAGGGCACACACCAGGCCTGGCCCCATGTCAAACATGCAGCATGGACAAAGCCCAAGTGTCCTAAGCATCCTTTGATGTGTGGTGAGACAGAGATGCTCAAGAACACTGAATTCCACAATTTTGCAAAATATAAAAGGCTTACAGTGTGTGCTGCATGTCAAAAAGCCAGACTCTGCTGCAGAATCTACTTATTGTGAATTACCTTATATTTAATGATGTTAAACTGCATCTGTCATTTGGCTGCCAAATCTCTCACTGTGTTTGTATCTATCTGGAGTTTCTCATTGTTCTCCAGAGTATTTCCTAATTGAAAGGATTCTGCTACACTGGCAAACTTTCCCTAACCTGTTGTTCATTGCTTCTTCAAAGTGGTTAATAAACACATAGGAAAAATCTTTATTTTCAGTTCCAAACCTCCAGATCTGAGTTACATCCCTCTATAAAGTCACTTAACCTTTCTCTGTGCTCTCCAGCCATGTGGGATTCCTCTGAAAAATCTGATGCTGCTGTTTTACCTCCACATTGAGCAATACTCTTCCCAAAACTGAGTCCCTTTGTATCAGCCAACCACAGTTTGAGAAGTTTGGCAGTTCCCTATTCATGACTTCACTTCTTTCCATTTAATCAGCTTTTTCCACCCATGTGAGTATTGTGCCCTTCTTCTACCATAAATTCTTTGGAGTGAGTTTTTCCCACTCCATTATTATTTCCCCCCTCCACAATGTTTGTACCAATAAATAATCAAACTGATGGGAATTTGTGATATTTTTCTTGAACAGAAAGTGTTATGTCTGGAAAAGTAGGCTTAATGTTCACTCTGGTGAATTGGTGAATTCCCATTGATGCATTTTTGTTCTTTTTATGTGTTCCACAGAAAATGCAGAGTTTTTTCTATCACTGTGTTAGTAAAGCCCATGTCAGATCCTTTGCATAAACTCAGGCCACAGTGAAATGTTCTGACACAGCAGCAGCACAGTGTGTTGTTATGATTAAGGGAAAATCTGGAAAGCACAACCATTTCAACCTCTTAATCCAGAATGAGAAAAAGGAAATAAATCACAGGAAAAGGAATTGAATCACAGAATTTCATGGGGAACAAAACAGCAGATTCAAGATTACTCCCCCTCCTTGTGCATGGGATGATGTTTCACCCTGACCCCCGTCTGCCCCTCACCCCAAAGCACCAAAACACCTTACTTGTGATCCAGGGGCTCCAATGGGTCCTGGGGGGCCTTTGGGTCCTGAAGCACCTGGTGGCCCTGGTGGGAATCAAAATTTGAGACAATGTTAAGGAAATTTAGGAGGAAGAACCCTAAATTCCAAAGGCATGCACTTCTTTCATGTTCTGCTGTGTCTCCCAATGAGTGAGAAGCCTTCATCAAACACTGGATTATTGAATAACCAAATCCTGACAGGACACATCCTAGGGGGGATGTTAGAGCTCTGGGAGGAAAAAATGGTGAAAATAGGCAGGAATGATGTCAGTAACATCTACATTTCCACTCTTTAAAATGCAGCTTTTGAGAAAACTTAAACTAGATCCATGGAACAGCTCCATGAGAGGAGACACTGCAGGTGCTGGTCCTGAAACAATCTCAGGTGGCAAGGGAAGCCCCAGGGCTGCTGCCCTTGGTCAGAGATAGGAGAGGCTCAGAACGGCAAAGCAAAGCTCTCTCTTGGTGTTCACTCACTGCAGTGGCAATAAATTAATTTAAAATCTGTACCACAGGAGAGCTGCTTCCAGGATGAGTTAAGCACCATCTAAACAGGTCAACTTGTCTCACACAGTGACTTAACAGATTCATTCCTTTTGAAAAAATAATTATATCTCAACAGTAGCTGTTAAATTATACCTGCAGATGGGAGACAGGGTATTTGCTTAGCCTGAACTTAGCAATACTCCTCTCTGCTTTAGTTGTCACAACCCTTGAGATGAAACAATGTGGACATTATATACAAAGTACAGCTGAATCAGCCTCAATCATTAATGCACCATACAAATGCTTAAGTCAAAGAATAAAGGAATTGAAGGATAAATGAAAGGCCCTCATAATGAAGGGAGAAGCCTTTTCTGCAACTAATGGGAGTTGACTTCTAAATATGCATCATACAGGGAAGTGCTGACGTTTGCAGGAATATTATAATTTAAGCCACCCATCAGCAGAGAGAGAAAGAAGGCTTGTCACTGAATTTTCATCTCAGATTCTGATTTCAGTTACACTGGTGAAAATGTGCAATTGCTCAAACTGGCTCCAAAGTCTTCACAGCCATCACAGAGCCTCTGGCCAGCCCCTGCCTGGTGCAGCTCTGCAGTGACAGGACAGGTCTGCAGCAGGGGGAGAACAGCTCTGCTCTCAGGAAGGAATCACTGAACAACCTACTTTTAAAAACAGCTTTTAATCAGCCCCTTTCTCAAGATGTAAAGGTCAAACAGCCAACCACTATCAACAGAAAAAAACCCAGTTACTTCTTGCCAGTGAGGAGCCCTCCCTTTCCCTGCAGACACCCATAGACCATCAACTCCCCATCAGAGGGGCTTTGCCTTCCTCTTGCCCTGCCAGCCC